AAATAGCATGATTTACTGGAATGAAAATTCCTATTTTATAGTCAGCCATTTTGAACAGAGTCTCTGATTAATGTGATTACCAGCTGCAGTGCAGTCACATTAAAGCAGTGAAATGCATTTAATTCTTACAGCAAGTTCAAATTGCAGCTCAGCGCTGGTGTTAAAGGCTAGGGCTGAGCAGTCAATTCAGAATTACTTAGAGATGAAGTGAGTAAAATTTTTTAAAGGGAGTAAGCCCTTAAAAAGGGACCTTTAGGCAAAATATTAGTCTCTTGCTGTGGTAATAGTTTTATCCATTTCATATATGGCATCCACCAAGTGCTTATATCCAGTGCTAATCAAAGCTGAAACTGATGATTAGGCTTCATTTTAAGCCACTCTGCAGAGCTGCGTTTACCCATATTCCACATTTGCTTTAACCTACAGAAAGGAAGGAGAATTATAGATAATAAAGCTGTGTCTAAATCAGCTTTGGGTAAGCCCTGCTCTGAGGCAGGGGTTATTTGTAGTCTTTGCTTAGAGTGGTGAACTCACCTTTGCTGAGTGCTGTGGGCTTAGTGCGTCCCTCTAGATGGCTTTGGAGTATCCCAGTTTTAGGAAGCATTCTTTCTTTTCGTCCCAAATATAGATGGCTTGTCCTTTAGCAGGGTCTGATTAAACCTGCAGCAGAATTATTCATGTTGTGGCTGTCACAGTTCATCAGTTTAATGGTGCATGAAAACAGAGACATAAAAATGATCAGCATGTGAAAGGTGTATCTTCTGGCCGTGCTGTTCCACTCTGTGTTGAACTGTAGTGATACTGTTACTAACTTGTTTAATTCCTGCATGGAATGGCTTTGGTAAACATGCTGCTGTATCATGACAACGTTTTAAATCTCTGGCTTTCTAATAGAGAAGACATTTCTAGAAGATTAAGAGATTCAGGTTTACTTCATTTTAAGAAGATGAGTTATTTCCTTCCATCTCCATGTCTCATAGTCCAGTTCTTTTCTAATTCTTTTGCTCTGCTTCTGTCCTTGCCATAGGAACCTGTATATGCTTCTACTTACTCTCCAGTTATACCCGCTCTCCATAAATTTCATCCTTTTCTGCCTATTAATCAGGTGAGCAAAAGTCTGCACAATTTAAGTGCTCAACAATTTCAAGTAAGCACATTTTGACAGTTTGGTTTGGGGTTTTTTTGGGTTTTTTTTACATAGGAAATTAATAATCCTCTTAACTGATTAACCAGCTTAGTAAATGCTGCTTTAAAGATACACAGTATTATGCTCCTATGCTGTGTACTCTTCTTCAATATACATTCTACTAGTGTTTCTCTTATTGTTCATTTTCTAAAAATTCTGTATCTGCTAAACTATATAGGTGAGAAAGTAAATGAAGGAGACATTATCACATTAACACTCCAAACTTGCAAATTGCTAAAATGGGTATATAAAAGGAGCAATACGTAACTGCACAGTGCTTATTTTAGAATAAAATGCTGTGTACCCTGACTTCTCTGTAAGTAATGCGCATATACACTGTAAGACATAAAATAATCTACTTCATTGACTGTAAAAAACAAGCTGCTTTTGTTCAGAGGTGACTTTCCTATAGTGCCTTTCCCTAGTCCCTATCTAAAGGATTTTTGCCTTGGCACATCCTGCCTCTATTCTCTGATGGTCCCATCTTCCTGCTTCTCTGTCTCTTCCTTGAAGGTCTGTAGTATTAGTTTGAAAGAATCAAGCTCTCCTACTTCTGATGAACATCATCCTTGGAGATGGAAGGTGAAATGCTGTACAAACTTTCTATTTAATTATTGAAGGGAGCAGTAAAACAGAAAATCACATTCAGGTCTAAGATGCACAATCCCAAAGCAAATTGTGGCAGCAGAGTTAACTTCGTGTTTGCTTGGGAATAGAGTTCTGCTGCTGTTCCAGGAAATTTTAGAGAAGCTTCATGTGAAGTGCTCATCAAAATTTTGTCCATACCTCTGCAATTCCATCATAAGCAATTTGAAGACCGTACTTATAGGAATTTATAGATAATGAGAAATATAGCTCTTCAGCTAGAGCTACTTTACAAAGTTGTCTTTGAGCTGAAGTAGAATACTGGTCTCAATCTGAGCAAACAGAACCTGTTTCACATGGTCAGAGGTAAAAAAAAGCAAAGGCAGGAGCAGGCAAATAAACAAGTTGAAGAAAAACACGAGAAAACAAGGAGAGTTCACTGGAAGATCTCAGTGGATCTATGCAAATCTAATTCTGCTTTATTGCACCTCCTTGTCTCTTGCCCCCAGTTCAGAACTGTGATTGTAGCACTGCAGGGAATCCATTGGGTTCTTCATTCCCCCATGAAATGTATGTCACATGCAAGGAGCATTCTGACCAGCATGGGTAATGGCTGTGAATCCACGGGGCAGAAAATTACAGCTCAGAGGGTGATGACTATGGCAGAAGCTACTGGAAGTATGATACTTATTTTGACTACTGATACTTACATTCACATTCACTTTCATAGCTGGTTTTGAGGATGATCTTTTACTCCGTTGGGTTTCTATATTTTGGTTTGGTTTGGTTTTTTAAATTAAAATTTAAATTTGAGGCTAGTAACTGAAATGTGTTTCTGTTACCTGGTCTCTGTAAGCTCTGAATTTAATATAGTTTTATTACTATTTACTTCAGATAACCTACTCATTTTGTTGTGACAGAGTTCACCAATTCTATGTATCTAGAAAGTAAATATAGAGTCAAACTTGATAATATAATATCCCTCCAGTAGTGAGAGGAGGTCCTTCAATGAGCTGTTGATCCCATCTGTCTTAAAAGGGGAACACCCAAAAAGTGTTCATATTTCTATTGACTGTGGTGAGCTACATCCTATCATCTTAGAAAGCTGCATCCTTATAGCAGAGTGTCAAGGTGCAGACAGATTTATTTGGGGTTTTTTCTGGCACAATTAATCATTTTGTTCTTTGCACCAAACATGAGTTGAGTGTGTTCTGTTTTGCTCAAACCACTTTTGAACAGGAAGCAGTACATTTGCATTTGAGTTTTCTCTTTATAACAGTGCACACATAGAGTTGCAGAGGAAAACAATGCAGAAACTTTTCAGTACTTGTAGAGCTGTTGGATTCTTCTTGTGGAGATGTGTTGCAGTGCTAGAAAAGACCAGTATCATCATCCAACCTAGCCAAGTAGTGTAAGAAAAGTAATCCCTGTTTCTCTTTTTGCATCGAGTCCATAACTCCTTCTCAGACTTAAAAAAGATCTTTTTAGAAAAAATATGCAGTCTTCATTCTAAACTGTCAACATACAGACAATTCACTGCAATATTAAGTAATTTTTCATGTGTAATTATTCTCACTGGGTAAAACTGAGCTCTTAACCCTCTCCAGTAAAAATAAATACTCATCTGATGTAATCTGAAGTAGATATTTTCCAAATCCTGAAAACGTATTTTGGCCCTTTCCTGAAACCTTTCAAAATTGTCTGCATCCTGGGATGAAGTGTAGAGGCTGAAAATGCATGAGCTGTTGCAGTACAGATTATCGGTTCAGAACAACTGTTTGTGGGAATTGTTCTCATCTTTTTCTGTTTTCCTAATCAACTGGTTTTTGCTTGTGTTCCTTTTAAAATAACATTTCTTTTAAAAGCCTCATTTACCAGATATTTTGTGATTACACTTTCTACCCATCATTGTGATTATTTCTTCTATCATCACTCTTCTGTATGTTGGTGGCATCATCAGGGTCTTCTCAGCAGAACTGTATCTTTTTACTATGTGCTTGAAAACGTTTTGATCAAAGTTGAGATTAATCAGATCACTGTATAGCTCTTTTCTGTTTAGAAATAATTTTTCAGTCAATTAACTGGTTTGCAGCCTGTAAGCTGCACTGGTATTTTTATATTGATCAAAAAAACTCAGAATGTCATCTCTGATTAAGTCAAATATATTAAAGAAATCAGAGGTAACGGTGTTAACATATTTAATCACACTTGATCTCATCAAACTTACCATTTTGATTAAACCTGTTTTCCATAATGCCACGTGGAATGGCATTAATTACACGCCTGTGCTTTGATTCTTTATTGATTGTGTTACAGCAGCTTTCCAATGAGTGTCTGGAACAATACACAGCTTGTGTAACCTGCACCTACATGCTCTAGTTTTACTTCTAAATACTGCCCTCATCCAAGCTTCTGTAAGTCCCCTGCATTTTCCCATTTTCAAAGGCTTTTTTTAAAAATCACAGTTTGTGTTTGGGGCATTTCCTAGTCTTGTTATTGAGAATCAGAGAATGGTTTGGGTTGGAAGGGGCCTTAAAGCTCATCCAGTCCAAGCCCTGCCATGGGCAGGGACACCTCCCACCAGACCAGGTTGCCCAAAACCCTGTCCAACCTGGCCTTGAACGCTTCCAGGGAGGTGGCATCCACAGCTTCCCTGGGCAACCTGTGCCAGTGTCTCGTCACCCTCACAGTAAAGAATTTCTTCTTAATATCTAGTCTAAACCTCCCCTCTTCCAGTTTAAAACCATTCCCCGTTGTTCTATCAATTTCATGTTGTTAGATGCCAATTCTTCTGATCCTTTTTCCATTTATCTTGATTTTAGGAATTTATAATTTGTCTGAAAGAAGAGATATCAATGAACATATGGATATATTTTTCATGACAAATTCTCATTGAACGTAACAGCGTTTTTTGTTTACTGGAAAAATAGCATTGGAGCCATTGTCTTCCTAAGCTTTTATTTATTCCTGGTACACTAAAATAATTTTTGCTTTAGCTTTTTATTGGGGTTGATCTTTCTTACAATTTACATCTTTAGTGATTAACACATATGCATTCCAGATCTGTGTCTTCAGTATTTCCAGTAACTGCAGACTCTGGAACTTCTGGTCTTTGCTGGAGAAAAAAATTCAAAATTAAGCCCCCTGTTACTTAAGAAAAAGAAATATATATATATGAAAGAATTTATTTGACTCTACTTCTTCCTGCCTCTCCTGCACTTCCCCTCATATTGTGATTGAATTCAGCATCCTTACTAAGTTAAAAGTATTCATTTTGTGTATGTAACTTCACTTGTGGTTTCATTAGGTATATATTAATTTTCTGCCAAGATCTCCATTAGTGTGTTGCTGTGGGTTTTTCTCTACCAGCTGTTCATCCCAGAGATGCCTGTGCTTCAGACACTGGAATGGGTAGTGACTGGAGGAAGCAAACAGAGATTATTTCCAGTGTTTTTATTTAAAGCATTCAGCTGCTCTTACAGAGGAGTAAGCAATATTGAATAGACTTGCATCTTGTTGTTTCTATTGAAGCCTTCAGAGTTCTAGCAAAAAATCAGATGTTCTTGTCTTGATTATCATGACTTGCAGTCATAGTGTCTGGCTGCCCAGACATCTTTCTTAATAAATTGAGAACAAGTTTTACTGCAGAAGGCTGCAGAGCTACATGGAACCAGGGGAAGGAGTGGAGGGCTCTCATGTCCTAGTCCTTACACAAGCCGTTTCTTCCGGCTGATGGATACTGTTCCTGGTAAATGCTGAAAGCTACAGAATCTCTATTTTGGTGTGACTTCTGCAGTCATGAGAGTTTATATCTAAAGTGACTGATATATTTAGTCTGTTTGATTTTAAGAAAAGAAATAAGTGAGAGTATCTGGGTTCATATCTCTTCCTTGTATCTTGAAATGGAGAAAAGCGTTTACTATGTTCATGAGATTTTTGCGTCCTTTTTCATTTCACCTCTGTGGTTGTATGAGATAAAGCTGTGCTAAAGCTTTAGATTTTTTGTATGTTTTTTTCAGTTCTAGCAGGTAGATTGTGAAGACAAATGGCAAAGGGCACACAACTTGGAAGTAATTCTAGAGTTGACAGTCCCATGCACTGAAAATACTTTCATACGTTATTTCTATGCAGTATAATCCCTGAAATGTTGCTACTCTATAAGATAAGTGCATTGAAGTAATATTTCTGTGGCCTGACCTAGCTACAGCAGAGTATGTAAATTCAGTTTCTTTCCTCTTTAACATACCATTATCAGTCCTTTGTGTTAGGAGGGCACTAAGATACTTAATGCTCCTAACTGCTCCTAATCACTCAAGCTGCTGGCTGCTACCCTCTAAAGCAAGTGAGGAAAGCTGAGGGTGACCTAAAAAAAAGGGGAAGAAGATCACAGGTCACTGTAAAAATATTCGGTAGAGCAAGCTGACACAGGAACTAAAGTGAGCAGCCTCTGGAGAGATAAGGCTGCTAATCCTCCTGCAGAATTAAGTTACTGTAACAGAGTGAGTGATTCAGAAATCACCAACTGAAGTTTCACTTCATTGTTGTTATTCCCTGTGCCACCTGCAGATTTGCACACTTGAAAACACCTGCTGAAAGTCAGTTTAGTGATCTCACTAGTGTAGCAAGTCATGTTTCAAAATAACTAGGTCTGGAACATTAGATCATATGCAGAGTAAATGGTTTGCTTTTGCCATTTGCTTTTGCTGGTAGTTCCAAGAGAAGGTCAAAGAGCATAGAACAAAACTTCGTCTTCACAGTGTAATGGGGTAGCAAGACAATGAAGCTTCTCAAGGTCACCGAGTTGTGACTTCCCTTTAGTAGCTTGTTCTCCTGTTCTTTTCCTTCTTCAGCCAGTCCTTTGCTATATCCTGGTCAGTTCATCTATTTTTTAAATATCTCTCTCTCTTTTCCCTGAAAAAAGCAGAGAATGTCAGATAACCAGGAGAGTCAGATGACCATTGAAGAAAGGAAACACTTGATCACAGCTCGAGAAGAAGCATGGAAGTCCAAGGGTAAAGGAGCAGCCAATGACTCCACGCAGTTCACTGTAGCTGGCCGAATGGTAAAAAAAGGTCAGTGATGAAATGATCCTAATATAAATAAGCCACTGTTTATCTGTCTAGTCAAAATAAAGTCAAGCTAAAGTTACACAGAAACAGTATCCATGTTTAGCAAGAGGAGAACTGTTTATCCTCAGCTGAATACCATGTCATGAGGCTGTTGGCTTTAGCTTCTTGTGGCCATTGGTACTGATCCATTTTGTTTTGCACTGTTGTGCTACCATCCAGGTATCACTGGGCTCTGTCTGACTGGTGATAGTCAATCACTTGAACAGTCATATGTTTTGTTTTTCCTTCTAATACAGCCCAGAGGGCAGAGTTGGTGTATTCTTTCTTATGTATTCTTTCTTTGAATACTCAGGTGCACTGTCTAGAGAAAAGTTGTGAAATCTACTTGTTGCTATTGCTAGCACTTCCCCCACCCCTAAGATCACTGGGAATATTTAGCAGACACATGTTATTTTTATAGATGCTGTTTTGAAGAACAGCACAAAGTGTTGTGTTTGGCTGACGAAATCACTGAACAGATTTCTGCGTAGAACCAGAGGGTGGAAATGAACAAGGAAGCAATGCTGACATTTTTGGAATCTCTTTAACTCAATCACAGTTTCCAGATGCAGGCATTCTTCTGAAGTGAAGAGGAGTCTCTGAAGGCTGTATGTGGTAGAAATAAAGCTGTTCATGCAGTGTACCTGGGACCATGATAGCTTCAGGAAGAAAGCACCTAAACTGATCTCTTGTGGTTAATGAATACTAAATTCTGTTTTGTTACAAGAAACTTGGTTGTTAAACACAACAACAATGAACCTTGAGTTAAATGACAACCACCCCAAAAAATCATTGTGGGGCGAGAGCAGTCTTGCAACAGGGAGTCACTGTTTGCAATCCAAGCCACATTCTGTTAGCAGTTAAACAGATACATGGTATTAGGAATTACATCTATTAGTAACATATTTTAGCTGTTGCTTACATTGTTTTGCTGCAAGAAACATCCAGCTGTCAGTGTTTGAAAGACTAACCTGTTTTGGAGGGTCACCAAGAAAAAATGTACAGTTGTCCACAGACTGATTTTTGAGGTTTGGTTTTGGTTTGGATTTTTTTGCCAAATAGATTGATCTTTGGAAAGGAACTGGTGATAGCATTTGTTCTTCCTAATGGGAAAAGAAAAATACGCGGAAAGTATCACCTTAGATACTGTGATCATTCTTTTAGAGAAGCAAGGTAATCCAGTGACAGGTGGCATCAGTAGTAGCTCGTGGGATTTTATTCAGATGTATGCTATTTTTGTTGCCTAAAAGTATAAATTATCGTGATGAGTTTTTAATTTAAGAGATGATGAGAAAGCAATGTAAAATTAAATCCCTGTAATATACATGTGCCCAGATATGCTATATTTTATTTGCTTCTTATGGTTGAAAGTTGTTCAGTCCTATTTGGAAGGTGATCCTTTACTAACATTTGAAGCGATTCTCAATGTGGTCTTGTGGATTAAGTCCTGGGAGAGCGGCTTAAGAGCTATGTTCTCTCAAATACGTCTTGATGAAGGCTTTACTGGTTGACTTAAAACCTGCTGGAATTTTAAGTCTCTTAAGTAACAGGGGAAAAAACTTGTTTGAGGAAAAGCTACTTGATTATATTCTAAGTCTATCTTGGTGTTTGACAATTATGACTTGCTAGGAGTTGCACTAAAGATAGTGAAAATGTGGTTTGTATGTATTCTTTCAGCACAATATCAGTTTAATCTGACCAAAATAACTAAAGACTTAAACTTATGTGGCTCAGCAAATAGTAAGCTATGGCTAAGTGGAAAACAGAGGAAAGTTTAAATGCCAGTTTCCCTATTTACTGGAAGTCTAGGCAGCAAGAGATAATAGATGCAATTCTTTGCTTCAGTATGCTGTGCTACCTAATAAAAACCATGAAACCTATAGAGTGCCATTTCTCTTACTGGAGCAACATAGATTTGCATGAAAATAACGAAACAAAAATAATCTTATTTTACCCACTAGTTCCAGAATGAATTGCTTTATGATAGTTACTGAAAAGGCAGAAGGTGAGTACAACAAAAGGAAGGAGTAGTGCTTGATGTGGTGGGGACTCAGTGCCATTTCTGCTTCCATTCCCATGTGTTCTTAAAAACACAACAGGGCCAAAGAATTCCTGCTTAATCCAGGTACAGCATTCACAGGTCAAATGCATCCTGCTATCTGTATTACTAGAGATTGGTTTAAATTAAAAAAGAGGGGTGAGGGAGTGGTGGTTGGGAAGGTGCTAAGCAAGATCTTGGTAGCATCCCTGCTAACCATATCTTTTTGTTCAGAACAGTTGCATGTTTTTAAAATGTAGCATGTGGTAGAACTGGAGTTAAAAATGTAAACCAGATGAACTGCTGCTACCTTGAAAACAAGCAAAATGACTGTATTCAAGAGAAAGAATGTATCTTGTGTTAGCTTGCTTACAGACACTTGGAAATAAAGCTTTGTTCTTGTGAATGGGACAGTTTCTGAAGCTGCTGCTGATTTAAGGAGCTGGCAGGGCAGTATACTCTGCCATCCCTAATGCAACAGTTGTGGAGGCTGGGCAAGTATGAAGGACTGTAGGAAGTGGTCAGGCTCATCTGCTTTCCCTAAGTAGCTTCCCCTGTCATCATTGTTGGAAACGTGGGCTGACCCAGGACTGCATTTCTCATGTTCTTTGTTCTTACACAGGTCTGGCTTCTCCAAGCGCACTCACACCAGTAGCATCCCCTTTCAGTAACCGGCAGAAGTCTACCACTCCAGTAACAAAGCCCTTGGAAGGTAAGGAATAAAAATGGCTGAAATGCATTCAGGCTTTTTAACTTCCTGTCAATTAACAAGTTTACTTTCTGGTTTGCTTAGAAATTGAAGCCAGGCCTGATATGCAGTTGGAATCAGATATGAAGCTTGACAAGTTGGAGTCGTTCTTGGGAAGGCTGAATAACAAAGGTTGGTAGAGTTACCAAAGGTGCCAATGTGTCCACTCTCCAACTTCAGTAAATCACTTAAAGTACCTCTTAGTTAAAATATCTGTTAACAGAAACTGAATAGTTCTTTGTTCAGACTGCACTTATTGATCACATAATTTATTTTTGTGATTCAGTCTTTGCTAAATTTTAAGGAAAAAGCACCTTATGCAATTGTATTACAAATGTACAATAGAATAAATCGCAAATCCCAAAATAACTTCCTTCTTTCTCTATACATGATGTACACATTCTTCTTAAGAGCAAAATTTCTTAAAACCGTACAGCCAGTCTGAACCATATTGCCATACACGGTGAAACAGCTTTAAATGTAGTTCAATCTTAGTAAAATCAAGATAGGACACTAAGCTGCTCCCAAGCACAGTTCATTCGCTTCCCTGCTTTTTTGAAAACTGACTCTCTGTAGCAGCTCATACAGCTTCCTTACACAGCTTGTCAGCTGCTTATGAAGCTGTGTAGAGTTCTCAGGTGTTTCCATCTCATGTCTGTCCTCCATTTGTAAGACAAAAATCCTTTTGTAATTTGTAGAGTGTCAAATACCATAAACAAGTGTATTCACATTTCAGCAGAGGAGGCACTAGCATAGGATAATGATTGTGCTGTACTCACTAGTCTGAAGTAGTGACTTTTCCACTTGCAGTTCTAGTAGATCTTTACAAAAGAAGGAATTGTGTGGTTGGAGGCAAGATGCAATATACAAGACCATAAATCATAGAGTAGAATCACAGTGTTATCAAATCATTAAGGTTGGAAAAGACCTCTAAGATCAAGTCTCACTGTCAACCCAACACTACTATGCCCACTAAATCATATCCTGAAATGCCATGTCTACATGTTTTTTGAAGACCTTCAGGGATGGTGACTCCACCACTTCCCTGGGCAGCCTGTTCTGATGCTTGACCACTCCTTCAGTAAAGAAATTTTTCCTAATACCCAGTCTAAATGTCTCCTATAAAATGCTTATATCCTCCTAGGAAAGCAACTCATTTTAGATAGTCCCTAACTCTTTGTAATAAAGATTGTTGCATGTGAGTAGCAGTTAAACTATGTTTTACCATTCTTTTCCAACAGACTGTTCTACCATCTCTCTTTCAAATTCCATAAATTAAAAAAGTTGAAACAAAAAAAACCCAACAAAACCCAAAACACCACCACCGCCCCAAAAAGTCCCACCCCAACAACTACCAAACAAGCCATGTTTACCTTTTCTAGAGTTAGAAGCTCTGGTGTGATTATTTATGGGTGATTTTTTTGGGTTTTGTTTTCCTGCAGTTGCTGGGATGCAAGAGACAGTGCTGACAGTTACCGGAAAGTCTGTGAAAGAGGTGATGAAGTTGGATGATGATGAAACGTTTTCCAAATTTTATCGCCATGTGGATTTCCCTTCCTCCTCAGTGCCTTTGGACCTTGATGAGGACTTTGATGCCATCTTTGATCCTTACGCACCAAAGTAAGAACTAGGTTTTTTTCACATTGTTTTGGATAAGACATGGGCAGTGGTCAAAATGTTCAGCAGTAAGTCATCTTATAGATATTTTAGTACTGGGTATGTCCGTTTCTTCTAGATATTTCCAAAATCACTCTTCTGCCTGAATGAAGGAACTGATCCTCATTTCCTAACAAATGTCACACCCAAAATCAAAGCAAATCTCTTGTCATCAGATGATTCTGACTAGGAAAATTAACTGATGATTATATACACTGCTTATTTTTCAGGTTAATATCTTCTGTAGCAGAGCACAAACGTGCTGTTAGGCCTACACGCAGAGTCCAGTCTTCAAGAAACCCCCTGAAAATGTTGGCAGCAAGAGAAGATATTCTTCATGAATATACTGAACAAAGACTGAACATTGCCTTCATGGAGTCAAAGCGAATGAAAGTAGAAAAAAGTAAGCTAACCGAATTATTTGTATAAGACATAGCTTGCTGTTTTAATTAAAAAGAAAACAAAAGAAAAAATTCCAACACAAAAAGCACAACTGAGGGAATGGCATATCTTCTCTGAGAGACAGAAATTGAGGTATGATGTTGAATGTAGACTGCCTAGGAGGTGTGGAGAGACGGGCATATGTGACTTCCTTGGGGAAAGCTACCTATGGCCCCCTCCTGTGCGTAGGTTTAGTGATGTATTTTTAGCACAGTACCTTGTGCATAGAGAGAGAGAACGCCACTGCGCCTGCAGGGTGAGGACAGGAGATCCAAGGGAAGCAGATCTAGCGTTGTGTTGTGCTGAGTGGGGGTAAAGCTGGCAAGAATAGATAAACTTTTGCTCAGGTACACTGGCCTCAATTTTGGATCCTGGTTTTCTCTCAGAAACTAGAATTAGGCTTCGTGACTCAGAAAGATTAATTTCCATAAATTATCAGTGCTCTGTGGCAGGACTTTGTGTTTTACTTGATGTTGCTTTCTCCTGACAACCAGACACACAGCAAAAGACATCACTGTAACATTTATTCCAAGGTTTGTCAAGCCACTTTTACCATTTTGGGTACAAGTGTTCCTTATTACACTTGAATAAAGAGAGATCATCTTTAGATATTACCTGTATTGATGAAAACACTAATTATATGTGTTGTACTTTGTTGCCATTTATTGAGAAGCATTTCTCTGAGTTATAAATTCAAAGTGCTTTTTCTTTGGTTGATAAATAAGCAAAAGTAGCCAAGAATTTAAGCTACTTTAGTTTAAAGTGAAACATGGCTAAAACTTTGAAATGTAAATGGCTGTTGCATCCCACTGGCTGAGACAAATTTGAAGGGAATTTGAGTTAATTAGCTTTGGCTACTCTGTTGTCTTTCATCATTAATCAGTCCTAAGGCATTGGAGATCTACTCAGGACTTTACAAAACATTGGGTAAGACATATTTCCTAGCAAAGTCGCCATTTCTGCCAAATAACAATTCTGACACTGATAGTTTACTCTTGGATGATACCTTGAAACTTAGGTACTACTAAACCTTCAAAGCTTTTGGGCTAGCAGTTAATCTGAGTTCAAGATGGGCTTGCCGTTGCTATTAAAAAGGAGGAAAACTGGGAATAATGGGGAGAAAATATTTTATTAATGAAGCAACTTATTTTTTAATAATTTTGTCCTTCTTTTGTTTGTGTGTGTTTTTTCTCCAACTTCTTATGTATAAGTGTCTACAAACTCAAATTTCTCAGAAGTAGCACTTGCTGGCTTGGCAAGCAAAGAGAACTTCAGCAATGTTAGCCTGCGGAGTGTTAATCTAACAGAGCAAAACTCCAATAACAGTGCCGTGCCATACAAGAAGCTAATGCTGCTGCAAATTAAAGGTATACTGGGACTGCTTTTACTGTCCATACACAATAGGCTGATTGTAATGTATAGGAGTTGCAACCACAGTTAGATACTTAGCTTGTTCTAGATCTGCAGCTCGAAATTATGTCCAAAACCCAAAAGAGTAAGTGAAAACTATGTAATAAATGCAAAACTTACAAAAAGTTTCACATTGTGGCCACTGGTGTATGTGTTCCAAGGAGAAAACTGACTGTTTCGGAATTCTAGCCATCTCCTGTGGAAATTTCTGAACTGTTCCATTCTTCCAGTGTTCAGTATAACTTGGAAGTGATGTGACAGTGTTCTTGCTCCCCTTCCTCTTACTGTGTGTGGTAATGTATCTGATTCTGCAAAATAATAGCTACACTTCTGACAAAGTAAAATTCTTAAAACGCTTTATTGCCTACAGAAACTGTGCCATAGTTTCACTCAGGCAAATGTAAAGGATTCTGGAATTTGGCCGCTACCTGCCATTTACTTAATTTATTTCCAGTAGAACACAAAGTTGTTAAGGCAAGAACAGGAAATAATAGAAATACTAGTTGATAGGAGGCAACATTTTTTTGTTTGTTTCCTATGAGTAAACCCTTTTTCCACAGTAGTAGTCTTATTTAATTCTTCTTTAACAGTCTGTTTCCATATATTTTGTTAAATGTGCAGGGATTGTTTGTATTTCATTCAAAACAAATTAGATCTTGGCATTTGACAGCAGTAGTAAAAGGAATATAATTAGCTTTGTTTTCTCTTTAGGAAGAAGACATGTTCAAACAAGATTAGTTGAACCAAGGGCCTCATCTTTGAATAGCGGGGACTGTTTCCTGTTGTTAACTCCGCATCTCTGTTTCTTATGGGTAGGAGAGTTTGCAAATGTCATAGAAAAAGCAAAGGTTAGTACTAGCTGATTTTTTTATTATTTACTTTTAGAACTGTCGCAGTATATGTATCTCTGATGTAACTGGTGCCAGTTGTCTCAAAAAGAGGCATGTAACTGATAGTCAACGACGAGTAGATATGCAGGGTTCCTGTAAATATGTTTTAGCCTGTGCACAGGATGAAAGCTGACACAGGAGAGTGTAGGCTGTGAAGCTGCAAGAGAAAAGAGGATATCCTCAGGAAACAGATTTGCACTCAAACAAAAAATAGTCTGAATTGCAGGATGCCCTTTTTATTTTCATGCTCATTAAGATTCATTTAAGGCAAATGAAATAATGAATGTATTTCTGTAACATTTTCTTTAGTGTCTGTTTTAGTGCAACAAATAATCACCATTTCTCCTGCTATTTGCTATTAAATCCTATCTACTTTTGCCTTCTCCCCAAACAAGATATGCACAAGTATTCCAAAGACTTAAGCGGTCCTGTTCAGATAACTATTAATCTCTTAGGCTTCAGAACTTGCAACTTTAATTCAGACAAAGCGGGAACTTGGCTGCAGAGCTTCTTATATACAGACTATAGAAGAAGGAATAAATACCCATACTCATGCAGCCAAAGACTTCTGGAAACTCCTTGGTGGACAGACAAATTACCAGTGTAAGCATTCTTACAGTTACAGTATCTGATGTTTTATCACAGTGAAATAGTTGAGTTGGTTCTCTTTAGTAAAGATAGTTGGATGTTAAATCTTTTTATTATTTTTGATGATCTTTTCCTTAAGCTGCTGGAAATCCTGAAGAAGATGAAATGTATGAAGCTGCAATAATAGAAACAAATTGCATTTACCGCCTTGTAGAAGACAAACTCATTCCTGAGGATGACTACTGGGGAAAGGTGCCAAAATGTACCCTGCTACAACCAAAAGAGGTATCGTGCCACTTACCGCTCCTGTGGAAAGTACAGGAACATACATACATACAAACATACAACATAGTAATGGCTTTGAGTACCTGCAAATGTTTATGGAGAGGCTCACTGAAAACTGGGTTTCTGAAAAACTTCTGAGCACTTTGCTGTCTAGAGTATGCTGCAGGTCTCAAGAAATTAAATCATGTTACCTTTAAAGTGAAATACTATTTCAGGAAGTGTAAATCTTTTTGTCAACAGAGGCTCACTCCAAAGTCATGAAGTGCAAAACAGGTAGCACTTCAGAAAAACAAAACAAAATAAAAACTTGTTTACCCTTTCAAGCATTTTTATTTCTATTCTTAGCAGACCTTTCCTTTTCAAACAACCGTTTTGCCTATCTAAGTAGAAATGAGAGCAGACTTTCAAAATAAAGACACGATGCATTTTCTTGAAAGCATTAAAGTAGCTGCCAGTTTGCTGAGCCAGTTACCCACAATTCTGTCAGTCTTCCCTGGCTGCAGGATGAAGCATAGGCCTAAATGTCAATGAAAGCTGCTGTAACTGGACAGTAATCAGTCATGCAACTGAATCAGGATTTTAGCAAAAAGAGCTCGCTAACCTGCTCAGCTCCCACCTCATTGCCCATACTTGCTTCCAGTCATCCTCATCAATTAGACATCACCATGCAGACCACTGCCCTGACCATACTTGCATTGCAGTGCTAGTTGTTAGTGTCACTGCAGAATTTCAATATATTTGGAGGAGTTTGTGTTCAACACACTGTTGCACCATGAGGAAACTGGAGGATCAGGGTATCACTTTACCTAATGGTAGGTTGGGTTTTTTTGTTGTTTTGTTTTTAGGTGCTGGTGTTTGATTTTGGCAGTGAGGTATATGTATGGCATGGAAAGGAAGTTACTTTAGCACAAAGAAAAGTGGCATTCCAGCTGGCAAAACACTTGTGGAATGGCACCTTTGACTACTCCAATTGCGACATAAATCCTCTGGACCCTGGAGAATGCAATCCCCTCATACCCAGGTATCAAAACTCAAGTTTAGTCTTGTTGCAGAAACTTCATTTTCTTGCCCTTATTTTACCATCTTCAATTTAATCCTTTTTTTTTTGTTCACTTGTATAGAAAGGGACAAGGACGCCCAGACTGGGCAGTGTTTGGCAGACTCACAGAACATAACGAGACCATACTGTTCAAAGAAAAATTTCTTGATTGGACAGAGCTAAAGAAACTCAATGAGAAGAATTCCAGTGAATCTCTTCACCAGAAGGTATATATAATTAGCATGCTAGGTATTACAAACTAGATGGCCTAGCTGAGATGGAAGCCAGGAAGCTTGTTCTCTAGGGTCCAGAGCACTTTATCTTGTGGGCTTTGACCTAGGGGTCAGAACATCACCACCTGCAGTGAACCCACAGAGCTGCTTTCTATCAGTGCCATCCAGCTCAGTGAATACTGAAGGTGGCTTTGACAAGGCATCAAACAATGACAAGATAATAAAGTGCAGAAATACACAGGAGTCAAGCTGCTTGACTGGAACTATGGGGTAAGAAGAAGAAAGCTGTGCTCAAAGAAATCTCTTTTGTGTTTTTTGACAGGAAGAATCCAGATCTGACTCTAAACCATATGATGTCATGCTAATGGTTGCTGTGCCCCAAACGACTGTAGGCACAGTCTTGGATGGAATGAATATTGGCCGGGGCTATGGACTTGTAGAAGGGGAAGATGGGAGGCAGTTTGAAATTATCACTGCGTCTGTGGATGTCTGGCACATCCTGGAATTTGATTATAGTAGACTGCCTAAGCAAAGCATAGGGCAGTTCCACGAGGGAGACACGTATGTGGTGAAGTGGAAGTACATGGTGAGCACTACAGGTTAGTGAACAATTTCATTTCACCCTGCTGAAACGTGAATTTCATTTCACTGCTGCTGTTAGTGGTGAGATCCAGACCTAGACTTCCTAGGATATGAAACTGTTTTAAAGGTTAGAAATGCTAATTTAGCCTTCCTAGCCCAATAAGAAGTAAAGCTTTTTTTTTTTTTAAAGAAAGCATTAAAAAAGCTGTTGTTATTTTTCATATGTCAAATGTGATACTGTCCATCTCTGCTTTTACCCAACAGTGCTGTTGTATGTGTTCACAGGACAGCTCATTAAGCCAGAATTGTGCCCACAGCTTAACACCAAGATAGCTGGACTTATGACAGTGGTCTGAATGTCTTGCAAGAGAGGGAGGCTTAGCAACAAGGAAAGCCTTTCCTGGGTAATGGAGAACAGTAGCAATGACAGGAGAAGCCCTTGCCCAACGCATTGCCCTTGCTGTCCTTTTTGCTCTTTCTAGAAACTATGGGTTTCAGTCTCAAGTGGAAAACTTTAGCAGTGTTCTGACAAAGAGCAGGTAAATGGTGAGAATCAGTCAGCTCAGTATGCTTATTACAACTCTCCTTTCTGGCACTAAACTAAGAATAGATGGCTTTTGTGGTAAGTAAAATAGAAATAGTCTAAAAATGATTGTTTCAAATAGGAAAATATTAAAATTGGTTGAAAGCAGTATAACAGCTATACAGCTTCAGGCTTGAAAAACAGCCAAAAACTGTAGGTAGGTCTTATTCAGCATAGTTGAGTTCAGATACTAGCAAATCCAAGAAAAATAAAAAAATTTGTAAGTCTTGGGAGAAGTGGGTGACACTAATACTGAACCATAAACAGACTCCTAATCCAAATGGATGAAAATATATTATATTGCTCCAAAACAGAGTAAGTTTTTAAGTAGGAGGCAGTACTTTCATGGACTGAATGTACAGGTAAGAGAAAACCATAAATTTTACAAGTGACTAGTGGCTTGAGTATTCTCAACTTGAAAAAAAAAATAGGATGCTTTCTCCTAAATATTTCAATTGGATGCTTCTCAGTGCTGCTGAAATCAAGGCAGAAGTTTTAATGTTTTTTTTTAAAGAATCTGATTTAAAGCTTTTGGGTTTTTTTTTAAATCTTTGATTTAATTCTATCTGTTTATTCAGTATTCACTGGAAAGAGTAAAATATCGCAGAACTGGTTCTATTGTTGAACTTCACTTGCTGTAAGTGTTATTTCCTTATCTTAACAATGAAATACCAATCTTTAAAAAAGAAAAGAGTTGCTGCTAACCCATTTTCCAGACCAATATGAAGTACTGAGTTAATTTTTAAAAATGAATGAATAAAGCTTACCTAATCCTATATTTTTTATGACTGCAAAATACTGCTTTGACGTTCATTTGTTCTGTAGTTTTCCTTTCTACTATCACTTTACCAAGAAAGATTTTTCATTTATGCCTGTAGCTTTCTCAACTGTTTCTGTTTCCAGTATCGCTCAGCAGCCAGCTACTCCCCTGCTGCCAGAGAACAGTGTGTAATTTGGAAAATGAGCCATAAAGCGCTCTCCTGGTAACATGACTGGACATACCATTTCACATGCAAATTGGCTCAAGTGATGTCAGTTATTTTTCTCCAGATAGTACCAGTTCTTTCTACATCTCTTCTGGGGCCAACACAGGCATCTCTGCCTGTGGGCCTACATCTACCTGATGAGACAAAGCTGACTTTGCACGGGGCTGTACTGGCTTGGAGACCTAATGTTCCTCCAGTTGAACATTTTATCTTTCCTGTTCTGGATGGGATGGTGCTGAGCTGGCAGATGAGATGAAACCATGTGCTATTTAAGCCTATAGCCAGAGTACTCTCCTCAGCATGTGCTTTTTGTTTTGCAGTTGGAAGCAGGCAAAAAGGAGAGCAACAAGTGAGAGCTGTTGGAAAAGAGAAATGCGTGTATTTCTTTTGGCAAGGAAGGCACTCCACAGTGAGTGAGAAAGGGACATCGGCACTCATGACAGTGGAACTTGATGAAGAGAGGGGAGCACAGGTGAGCTTTCTGCAGACCTGCCCAAGCAGCCACTAACAGTAAATGAGGATTATCTTTTTTTACCTCTTTCTGTAAAAGTGTACTTGCCAATACAAGTAGCCAGACCTCAAAATTACTTTTGGCTTTAATCCAACTTCCAGAGACACATAAACTCCTTTATGGATTGTCATTCCCAGATCCCACTTCTAAAGATGATTTTTCTGAGAATGGCTGAAGGAGAACATCTTCTCTCTTCTCTCTGCAGGAATAGGTGAAGCATAGTTTCACAAATTTGTGCCTTCACTTCAAGTATGTGTTCAGATAACAGGACTGTCTACCTAGTGCTGAGAACAGGAGAAGCACTTTCTTCCAGGCCAAGGCATGAAAATACATTTGAAATTTTCAGTTTGTTTACTCTGTAATTACACATTAGATTGCCTTGTTTTGCAGAGATTCTAGCAACTGCAGATTCAGCTAATTTGAAGCTCAATCAGAGGAAAGGCTGCCTTGCTTTGTCTTTAGGTGGAGTGGGCTTTGCTGTGGCTTGATTCTTACCAGCGGACAAGAGGGGAGGTTTAAAGTTAGTTTCTGTACCTTGATAATGCTGTAGTTTTTTAACAGCAGCTTAGACATAACCAGTAAGACAGGAGTTCATAGAGGAAATACGTAAATGCACTTAATCCGAAGTGCAACATAGCTGATTTAGCAATTGGCTATATCAGTTTCATACTCATAATTCAGTGTTTAATGAGCAAAGAATATGTATGTTGTAATATAAACCAATTTTACTGCAAACTTTGAGCCTACTTCAGTTCCTACAGTATCTCCATAATAGTTTCAAAGAACATTAGGCAAGATGGCCCAGCCCTGTAAAGAATTCAAATTGTTTTAACTGATTTAAATTAAAGTTTATTTGTTATTCCTTATGCTCTGAAACTCTTCCTTGTTGAATTCCAGCTAGAGGTTTCTTTAGTATGCAGGTCACATATGAAACCCATTGCATGCTGATATATATGGTAATTTAAACAATAGTCAGCAGTTGTAAAGTAGAAGGAAAGCCATCTTTGTGGGTGGCCATAACTATATAATTTTTAATAATCCATAGAGACTAGTTTTCCTTAGTCTGTATACTTGCTTCATTTTTTTTAATGAAGCGTGGTGCTTTCAATTTCCAGGTGCAAGTGCTTCAAGGGAAAGAACCTCCATGCTTCCTGCAGTGCTTCCAAGGAGGAATGATTGTGCATGCTGGAAGAAGGGAAGAGGAAGAAGAAAATGCACAAAGTAAATTACTGCTAGTTAAAAGCTTCTGACCCAAACCCTTTTTTTACCTATTGTGAAGGTCTTTGAATTCAGTCTCAACTACCATACTCTGTAGAAAAGGGAAATGAATGCCATGAAACCCATGAGACAGCTTTGCAATGCTTTGTTTCAAGGTAGTTTCTTCTTTGAGCATAGAATAGATTTTATCACCCTAGAGCAAGCTGACTTTATTGATATGCATGTAAATTGTTCTAGTTGTTTTTTAATTAAGCAAAGTGCCTGTTTATTTTAAAATATGTTCTTTTCTACATAGTCTGGGCAAAAGAGTGTGTATACAAGCAGTTCTTCTGCTCCAAGAAGAACTCTTAAGTTTTTGTTACCCATTCATTACTTTTTGCAAAATATTCCTTGAATGCTGCAGTTGAGGTAGGAGAATTTCAGTGCAAGTGTAGCTTGGACTGTTCCAGTTCATAGCCAAATGTGACCTTCTGTGCCTAAGGTGCACAGGGGAAGAGGAGCTGAATAGAAGGACTACTGTATTTGTTCCCTTTTTTTTCCTTCCTGTATGAAACAGAGCAGAAACTTGACTCTTCTGCTCTGTTAAGCTCTTCAGCTCTTAATACTTATACTCTTGTAGCAAGGTTTCAGAATGCATCTTTTCTGCAACAGGGTTTCTTAAGTAGTGGTAGCCAAGCCTTATGCTTAGCTAGTTTATTCTGTGACAGTATAGGCATGCGATTTGTGAAGCTCATCCAGTGTGAGGAGAGCTGTTCCAGAGCAGAGGTCTTGACTTTTCAATCCCATGTGACTGTATAACACTGCTGCACTGTTCCTGTCTGCTCCAGGTGACTGGAGACTATATTGCGTGCGAGGAGAAGTTCCCAATGAAGGAAACTTACTTGAAGTAGCATGTCACTGCAGCAGCCTGCGCTCCCGGACATCCATGATTGTCCTCAATATAAATAAAGCTCTTATCTACCTGTGGCACGGCTGCAAAGCACAATCTCACACCAAGGATGTAGGAAGAACAGCAGCCAATAAAATAAAGGAACAGTGAGTGTCTGACCTATATTTTGGAGATGTTTATACAGGCTACCAATGTACTTCAAATAGTGTGCCTTAAAGAAAAGTTGAAATAAATAAAGCTGTTCTCTGAGTACAACTGCAGCATGCGCGTGCTTGGTAAGGAGGAGGAATGACGGGTAGTTGATTTGGTGGAGTGGGGAAAATACGTGTTCTGTAATCACTTTCACTAAGGTGAAATGCACTTATTCATCCTACTGTACTAATTACAGTTGCAAAAAAAAAACCACCAGTCTCTTTCCATTTGGAGGAAGATGGACAATATATGAATAGCAAATTAAATCCCAGTTGATAGGAGGATTAGAATCAAGCCTTGCAGAAAAGGAAAAAGAAATGAATTTGGGAAAGCATGCAAGGAGGACAGCAGTAGCTAAAAGAACAGGCAGTGAGAATCCCTATTGAGAGCTCATGCAAACATCTCCTCCACTCTGGGAATGTGATCATAAATGGTACAAGAATGGCTGCTGCAATTCCATATCTTGTTCGCTGATTACTTTTGTCGTCATTTTCAAAAAACCTATGTTGACATCAAGTCTGTAACAAGCCTATAGGGTGCTTTTGGGTTCTAATGATGCGAGTGGCCAGCAGGTTTATGTTAGCTCTGTCTGGGGCAGGAACGCTGGGCTCAGTCTTTCTTTGTGTTTTGTAGATGTCCACTGGAGGCAGGGCTGCACAGCAGCAGCAAGGTGACGATTCATGAATGTGACGAAGGGTCAGAGCCCTTGGGATTCTGGGACGCGTTAGGAAGGCGAGATCGAAAGGCCTATGACTGCATGTTGCAAGGTAGACCTGCATTCCTGGATTTGGCACTCACATTTTACTGTACTGTTAGATTCAATGTAAAAATTCTGAAGAACTTCATGATAGTTGAGATGATCCCTTCAGAAAGGTGCTTCCAAAAATGTGCTGAGTTCAGTAATACTGTGTTCTAGAAGAAGAGTGCCGGAAAACCAAGTGTTTCATTTTGTTCTCTCCCCTTTCTGCAGCCCCACTGTAGTCATGCGGCACATTCTTGTTCAGTATTGGCTTTGAAACTGCCAACAAACTAGCAGGGGAATTGATTTACCAAGTGGAAAATTTGTCAGCTAAAAAGTAAACTCTGAGATGGGCTTGCTTCACTTAAGCTGCAAAACAGCCAGATATGAAATGGCTGATAGTAACTAGCCAGGATCAGATTCAAATTGATGGCCGCCAGCCTTTTAGCTCAAGTTCATCACAGCTGTTGCTAGTCTTGCAAAGATATCTGGTTGTCTTTCTTGATTTTTAAAAAACAGAGAATTTACAGTCACTCTGAAAGTTGATCTTTATTTTTTATTATTCTTTTATTTTTTACATTCACCTCTGACATTTTCTATCGGGTATCTTTTTAATTTTTGTTCTCTAAAGATCCAGGAAAGTTTAATTTCACCCCCCGCCTGTTCAGCCTCAGCAGTTCATCAGGAGAATTCTCAGCCACCGAGTACGTTTATCCCTCAAGAGACCCTGCTGTCATCAATTCAATGCCATTCTTGCAAGAGGATCTTTACACTGCACCACAGCCAGGTATATGCTTAAAAATACTTAAGTAACAAGAAAACAGATAAGTATATCCTGCTTTTGCCAGTGATTGAGTAGCTGTAATCACTTTTAACTTGATTTATCACAGGAAAATGTGTGCATGTGATACTTATACAGCATTAAGCGATAACAGTAATTTTTCCATGATAGAGATGCTGAGAACTAATCAAACGTACGCGTATCCCAAAAGTTTACTACAAAAATATGCTGTTTGTCAGAGAATCTGAGTTCAGCTGAGGTTCGGCTGGGTGAATAACAAAAGGGATTGGTACGCTTTGAAATTATCCTGTCCTGATGCTGACAAGCACATAAGACCAGGGTTGTTTAGGGGATTCTGTGAACTAGTAAGTGGCTGGTGATGGATTTGTTATTTTTCGGCTGCACAGCACTGTTCCTCGTTGACAATCACCATGAAGTGTACCTGTGGCAAGGCTGGTGGCCTGTGGAAAACAAAATCGCTGGATCAGCTCGAATCAGGTGGGCTACAGACAGGAAATGCGCCATGGAGACAGTGCTCCAGTACTGCAAAGGTAACAGATTGCTGTGCCTGGCTGTTCTGTGTCACACCTTTCCATGCCTTACTGTCCTGAGCTGAAAGGTGCTCGGGTGCTCCTCCAGCTTTATCAATAAACATCAGCGTATGTGAAGATACATTCTCCACATTTTCTTAGCAAACTGTTTGTCTAGTAATGGCATCATTCCCAAGCTGCCAGGATACTCTGCTGACTCAGTTCTCAGAGGAAGCTCTTTATTTCTCTTCTGTGCTCCCACTGTGGGAGAACAGTTCAGACACCAGTTCCCTGAAAGTGAATTCTGAGAGTGCAGTCTCTTAAACCTGAATGCTTTCTGTCTAGTTACTCTTAGATTTCATAAGCTTCTGTGCATCAAAAGACTGAATGAAGATACTTTTTGCTGATGTTAACTAGGTTTTGATTTAATGGGGGAGATGGAAAGACTTTGGAGATTGAGATGGAAACAGGTGGCCATTGGAAATGCTCATTTCTACAAGACAGAGTTATTGCCACTCAAGCTGCAATTGATGATCATGTAAGAGTAGGCTAGCTAGATTTTCTGAATGAGTAGAGTTTCTTTGAGACACTGTAATGCTCTCCTCTCACTGATCAAGTTGAGGATGTCCCTGCTCACTGCAGGGGGCTTGGACTACATGACCTCTAAAGGTCCCTTCCAACACAAACCATTCTGTGGTTCACTTCATCCAAGGTTATGTAAGGCTGGGAATAGACCTTGCGCTTTCTGATGGAGGACAAATAAAGAAAGGTGTGGTGTTTCCATCCAGGAGAGAGTGCATAAGTAACAGCTATGTTCTGTTAATTCAGAGCAGTTTCCCACTGTAAATAAATCACTAGGGCTTAATTGGTGCAAACTGTGTCTTCCTGCAAGGAAAACCTGATCGCTTATAGACCTTGAGACCTCATGGTGCCACTCATTTCTTCTGTAACAAATAAACTTTACAACTTACGACACAGCTGGTGGTAACTGTCCTCTTCTCCCGTAGACATCTGTATATCTGAAAAGTTATATCCTTGTTGGATTCCACCCTTATGAGGATAAACCAATCTCTCCTTTCTCATCTGCAGGTCAAATAGGAGTAGGAGCAAGTGTTGTGTTTCTACTCAGTTGTCTTGTGTCACTGAGGAGAGGTGGTAACACCTGACAGGAGATAGCTGAAAACTGGTACTGGAGACACTGAAGCTTGACCTTTATTGGGCTGCATTATTGCTCTATGTGGTTCATTTCTGGTGTCCCTGGCACTGCCCTGCAAACATCAGCATGTGTTTAGGAATGGGGTGCTAAAGACAGGGTAGTAATTGGAAGAGTCTTTGGCCAGTGACTGCTGAATTCCTAGAGAAGAGGCAGTTACTTGTTCTCCCCCACCCTCAGTTTTTGCAAGTCAGAAGGAGTGATAAGATGCATTTCTTTGAAATCATTTCATACATGCTTCACGGTAGAAGTGAATGTCAGCATAGAGGAACACAGCCCCATGCAATGAATATTGAAAGAGATGGCAAATGAGCT